AATGGAAAGATAAAAACAAAAGGAGAAATAGAACTCTAAAGCCCCAAGATCGGTTATACCGCACCGCCTAAGGCTAAAAGGGATGCAAAAGGTCCAGTAATGACTGTTGGCCATTAAGACCTGACGTTCACCATGATTATCCTACCTCTCTTGGCACGTTCGCGTGCGTGCTATGTAGAGGTGCCGGCTTCGTTTCAACTAAGATGTTTCGTGCGCGCGGGGGGTCAAACACTTCACTGTAGCACGTGGCCGGGGCTTGGTTAATCAATAAATCCAGGGTAGGAGCTGGCGTGAGCAGGCAGGACTGTCGAAATACTGCTCATCATAACTCTCCGTCATCTAGGTTTTGCTGTTAAAATTGATCCAAAAGCTTTCCTGATCATGAAGAATATGGTCGTTTTGTCTTATACATTTTGTTGACGTCGTCGTAAGTGGTAGAAATTTGCAGTTGCAACCGGAGCAAAAACAACATTGCCGATGATGTTTTGCACATTAAATGAAGCAGTAAGTTTCGCTGTGCTCATTCATTGTAGTCCACAATAGGCCATAGAGAATTCATGTTGTTGCTTACACAGCGTTTCCATAACGACGGCAGACTCCGGTTAATCCTCGAGCCAGCGTGTTTGCCTAGTGTTGAAAGAAGGAGGAAAATGTCGGCAAAGATGAAACGGCAGACCAGAAAATAGATGCCGTACGTTCGACCGAAATTTCAATCCAGGTGAAACGGTTGTTATATAGGCATGCAGGACCGTCTGATCCTCACCGCCAATTCGACAGGCTCTTGGCTCCAAAATCCACCATGGTCACCGAGAGATGCTATCTCGCAAGGCGAACAGAATGAAAATCATGCATCGGTGTGGCTGCTCAAAGATGTGTTATGTTTACTTAATGCACCCCTGATGAATTGTTCCTTGCTTAAATGTGAGTCAGGCGAGCCCCCCCCCCCACGTAGGTTTGAATTATCACCTCGAAGTTGGTCTTTGACTTGAACAAACATCAGTGGCTGATAGACCGTTCTCAAAATGCTTATCATTTTGGGCGGCTGAAGCTCGCAGCGGTTGGAGCGGGACTCAAAATGCACATTTGCCCCAAAGAGGAAGATATTTTTTGCAGTTACTATTCAATAACACTAGTTTTTACGTGGGGATTTCATCATGGAGGTATTGATGAACAAGTGTAGTATGTATTAAGAATGGCATATTTATGGATTTCCAATTGGTTTCTCAAAGTTAAGTCGTTGGAAGTCTGAAAAATTCTTCACAACAAATTGTGGGGGGGGGGTTCAATAGCCCATCCCCACTCAAAAAGTGAGGGAATATATACCCCCCCCCCATCTCCCAGGGATTTACGCCCGACCTGTGCAGCACAGCGTAGCCGGAGTTTAGGATGACAGAATGCAACGGGCTTGAAATCTTAAAAGCAACAGCAGGACACTGGTATCAGGGGCGTAGGCTGGTTTAGCCCTGGGGGTGCGGAGTCCGACCCCCCCCCGCAGCCAACGCCCTTGGGTATGCCATACTTATGGAAGCAGCAGAAATGTGGCGGCAAGGTAGGTTTAGTATACATGTAAATGAATATCAGGAGAGCTGAAGCATTGACCACTGTTTTGCTGAATTATTCTCAAATCGCAGTTGTTGTTTTCAGATTATCTTCATTATGTTTGTAAGTGAACCGAAATGAGATACAGATTGTAATTCACAATGCAGGGCAAAGCAGAATCTGGGCGACGCACCTGTGTACAACCCTTTCCACACGTTGTACATCTCTGAACAAAGACTTTCCACAATGTAAAACATAGCATTCCCCTATTGAAATGCCGTGGACCCTTAACTGAAAATTGAACATGCGGTTTCAAATCAATTGATGGCATTAGCCCACATAATTAAGCTGACATTTGTGTCGGGTAAGATTCAGTCCTGTTTTCTTCTCCTCTCTGTTGTACTCACGTTTTTAATGTTAACATCCTCCGATGCATGTTTAATGCAAGAATTTAATTACTCGTTGTGTATGCCATTTCTGTGTCTTCTAGTATTAAGCCTCGTTGTCTTTAGCTCATGCGAACCAGTGCTCGGCGTCTAAGCGCTATGAGTGGAAGTGAGTCTAGCGGTTTCAAAACTTATCGATCCGTTCTCGCCAAGACTTAGTCCATTTCCGGATCTCGGTTTGTTTTTAGTCAGCGAGAACGTGTATAATTAGCAAGAAGATGGTGCCTGTAAGTGCTTCATTACCATAATCAACGCTGCTGTCTCACCAATGAAGGCCATTATTTTAATCACGGACATGGAAATTAAGAGTCAAAGGCTGTTCATAAGCTCGAAACACCTCCAGAAATATACCGTGAAATTATATCGAAGGGGCATTTCAAATTTGGCTTGTGCACAAGTCCCACACCGTCTGTTGGATAATTTGAAGAATATGAAGAATATCCCTGTTGCATGCATCCTAAACAATTTTTGTACCACATTGCCTTCCGAATGAGTAAATATAATACATATAGCCTACGCATGGGCTTTAACATCTCATTCTACAAGTAGGCCTACAAACAGAAATGAATACATCGTTAGACACGGTTTTTGCCATTTTAATGTTTTTTGTATTTATTTATATATTTTATAGACTTTCCATGGCGTATAAATTATAAGCAGTTTCACGCTCCAACGTACGGAGACAGACCTCCGCTCACAACAAAAACACCGACTTTCAGCGATTTTTGCACTTGACCTTGCACTTTCATACGTAAAATACTTTGTACGATTTGGAAAAAAAGGTCTTTTCTGTGTACTATTTAGCCTATTTTGTGAAAACAATAGAAGGCGGACACATACTGTACATGTATACCGCAGGATCATCCAAACAGCATCACTCAACATAATTGTTCCATATTCTTGAAGAAAATTACAGAGCCCTTTTTCCAAAGAAAAGGCGAGTAGTTTTTGACTTTATAAATATTAAAAAGGAGAACGCTTGAACGATGAACAACTTGTGTGGTGATGGAAAACTATATAAAAACGGCGAAAGTGGGCATTGTCCACATACAAAAAGATTACAGACTTTGAATACATGGTCAGGAGAGGCACAATTTACATTAATTCAAATCGTCCTGTCAGACTATGAACCTGTCTTTATTCTCTGCGGTTTTCAAAGGCATTCATCTCACCAAGGCCGTCACCAGAATTTTGTCTGCAGCGTGACGTTAAATGGCGCCAAATTAACTGCTGTGTGAGGCCTTGTCAACGCTGTATCATGCACTGCCTATTAATTTGTCTGCCCAAGTGAGTAAAGACAGCCTCACATTCTGAGAAATTCCCTTGAACAGGCTGAATACCATATCTGGTTGAAACTTAGAAAGGCCGAGTCCTTAAAGTTTTTGGCAGTGGCTTGTCTTATTTCCCAATAAAAAAGGCAATTTTACGTATAATAAGGGAAACAAAATCCCTCGAAGATATGAAATTTAGAGAGCGCGTAAAAGGTTTGCTTAATTACAGTACAGAGATTTGCAACATTATACTATTCACGTACAAAGCGGTGACAAAGCATTTCCAATCATTGGTCCGATGTACAAGTATTTTTTACAAACCTTCTCACTTCTACCGTTTTTAATGTGAAATTATTTATGAAATGCATATTCATTCTTAAAAGGCTTCCAATAGATTGGACTTGTACACAACACTTGCAAAAGTTTCAGGTAAAAATTGGGGTATACATGTATTATGTATTCATAATTTCAAGTCTTCTCATCATTTTTTTCAAAAGTAACATGATCTCATACTCAATCTCCACAGCTTTTTAAGCTGTGTTGAAAATGGAAGACCTCAAATTGTAAAAGGAGTAGCCTGATTTTATGATAAAGTTGGAAATTTGACAGCAATGGGGTTACAGTTTCATACGGAATAAAAGAAAGGAAAGCCTGAGATTGGAAAACTGCCTTTTGTGAAGTGCAGTTAAATGATTGATTTGAAGAGGGGTCTTTATAGAGGAAATTAGAGGGTGCATAATCTGAAATTGACGTCTGAGGTCTTCATATTTAGTCGAAAGGCCACAACGCAGCAAGTGGGCTCCTCTCAACTTGAAAACAGACCCATCCAGACTCTATACCGACTTGGGGGGAAAGACCACACAATGTAGGTCGCCATTCTTTTGACAGCCCCAACAATAGTTTTAACTGGCTGTTGTTTCTAGGCCGCGAAAGAGCTAGCAACTTGCACCTGCTCGCCATCACAAAGCCCCATTTAGTGGACTCAATGGGGCAGGATTCAGTCAGTTCACTAGGGTCACCCATGTGGAACTAAGCCAGCGTTTCAAATCACCACTCAACTGGGGCCGTGCACTTTGAATTACAACAGTTTGTTCCCAAACAGGGCCCTTCTTTGAGCCCTCTTAATATTAATAAGTGACCGGTAAAGAAGCCATTGGCCCCTGAACAATGAAAGGTGTTTGTCGTCTTCTGTTTCAAAAGGAAAAAAACAACTGTTGTTACTAGACCAGACTACTGAATTTCATTTATTAAAGGC